CTGAGCTTCAAAGTATATATGTTCAGAACACTAAAACAAGCTTATTCTGTAAGTTTCAGAAAAATCTAAAGAAAATGGATTTTTCGGAGAACGTCCTTAAATTTCTTTCAGTTACATTAGGCCTGTTCTTTTTGACTGAACTTTTGCACCAGTTCATCTTTCTTCCTTTTCTCTTTAGGAGGAAAGAAGAGGAAAAAAGATGAACTGGTGCAAAAGTTCAGCCAAAAAGAACAGGTCTATTATTAACATATGGTAAGGTACAAGATTTTTTAATATTAGTGTCTGTTAGTTCGTTTTGATTTATATGCTTGCAATTATTTTTGTGTAATGCGATTCTGCAGCACTTTTCTTTAAAATAAAATAATGGAGTAAAACTTCCCGCAAATGTTGCTTTTTTGGAATAAATTCCGACATCTACAACGCAAAAAAGTTACTTTTTTTTACGCTTCGAACGAATGCCAACTATTGGGCTCAAAAGTTTGAACACAAACCTTTCAAACACATGTGTTGCCGTTCTATTAAACACACAAGCAATGCTACTAACGACATCTTTCTACAATGGGCGGAAACTTATTCCCATACCCAATATGTTAATAGTTTATACTTGTATACGATATCACTATTTGATTTTGTTAATATATTTTTTGTACTGAAGAGGACCTTGACCGTAGGTCGAAACATATACGTTCACGTTTAATATTCATTTTAAATGAATGTTATAAAAAATACACACTAATAACCAGTGTTGGCTCAAACTTGTCATGTGATTTATTATTTTTAAATAAAAAATTTTAATTAATGATAATAAGAAAAATATTCTGTACATGTAAAGCCATAATATTTATATGTACATAGTCATCTAATAATTTAGAAAATTATAGATGATGTCTACACAAATGATAGTAACGATAATGACATCGTAACAATTTACTGAATATGATGAAATAACTTATGTTTCTTGTAAAAGACTGTGAAATTTACATGTATACAGGGTGTCTGATAATTAATAAAAAATTTTTTGCATAGGGGCAAAATGGACTAAACTGAGAAGAAAAGTCCTCTACAATTTTGCAATTTTTGCAATAGTTAACAAGATATTAATTGCTAAGAATTGCCGAAAATTGGTTTTCAATAATTTTTTACTCAAAAACTATCAACTTTACAGAAAAACAGTAAGAGACAAAAATTGTTTATTTTCTTTTTATAAAGTTTTGAGAATTTTTTTAGAATTTTTTAATACCGTATTTTCTCATGTTGGTAAAAATAAGAAAATCCAATACTAAAAAGTTGATAAAAAATTCTGAAAAAATTCTTAGAGCTCTATGAGAATATGGTAAACAATTTTTGTCTCTTGCAGGTTTTCTGTAAAGCTGGTAGTATTTAAGTAAAAAATTATTGAAGACTAATTTTCGACTTTTTAGTAATTAATATCTTGTTAACTATTACGAAAATTGTAAAATGGCAAAGGACTTTTCTTTTCAGTTTAATCCATTTTGCCTCTATGCAAAAGATTTTTCATTAATTATCAAACATCCTGTATATGAGTATAGTATCAGTATTCTGCAGGCTCAAAAAACTGGTACCATCAAGAGTAATCTAAAAGGAATCGCACTCGGAGACTCTTGGATCTCTCCTATCGATTCCGTAATGACATGGGCACCATTTTTGCTCAACACAGTAAGTAGGATTATTTATTGTCATTGTAATGTCCGTGATTGTAATGTCCGTAAGCCCATGATTTATTTATTAATGAAATAGATTTATTTGACACAATAATTAAATAAAAAAAGCTATTGCAATAAATAATATCGTCGAGAAAATAGAATTAATACACAACAGACAATAATCAGATCTCAAGATCCAATAATATCAACTTTTTTCCTTGTTGTTCTTCTTTATCGATGCTAATTGACCATACGAAAAATTGCCTGTTTTATTTATTTAAAGCAAAGGACCCCGCACAAAATCATAGGATTTTGGCCCTTGGTTAAATTGGCTGAAATTTTAGTATGTTATAGTTCTTGACCCACTGATCAAAAGTGTCCATAGGCACAAAGCTTGATCATGACTAGTTTTTTTGTTAT